TTAATTGATTGACAATACCATTTTTGTAAGGACATTTTTTTCTTCAGATGGCAGCAGAATAGCTAAATCCACCACTATTGATGTGCTGATGAGATCTGATTTTCAAATTAGCATCAATGATCAGAAATACAGTGTCAGTCCACCTGTAATTTGTAAGTTGTTTCATTATCTGATTGAAGCACAAAATTGTTTGTTTGTTACATTTCATTCCAGTAAAATTGTCTTCAACTGTTTTTTTGTGTAATTAGGCCCTGTTACTCATGAAGATGCACAAACGTTGACTGATATTAAGTTATTGATAAGTAAGCTTTACACAACACTCAATGTTGAAAATTATCAGTTGGAAAGGGAGAAAGAACTGCATACACGATTAGAAGACTTGAAAGCTCAAATTGCCCCACTAGAGCAGGTAAAAATCTTTCGAAAATAAATATTAAATATCAGTGCTAATATTATAGTTATATAAGTAAAAAAATATTTATTAATCATATTGACTACTATTGCAATAGAATGCGGTGTTGATGTAGATGTAAAGATGTAGATGTTGAATTAATTAATTTTAATGTTAAAACTCGGATTAATACAATTTTCCAATATCTCAATATTTTTAGTTGTCAATATTCAAATAGCAAACATACAGATCTAAATGAGGCTGAACATCTTGAAAAACCTTGTGACTACTCTGAACACATATATTTTTAGGCAAGAATGTGGGTTTTGTGGCTGAGTGGTAAAAGCAGCATGTCTGTCTATCAAGGAGGCTTAAGTTTGAATTGAGAGCCTAAAGTAAAGGCAGCACAGAAACCTTCTCTCAGATACCCCTTTTCCTGCAGGTCCACACAAGAGATTGTTACAGCAGAAAAGATGCCCTATAAGTTACAAAAGTAATTTAAAAGACTTAACATTTGTATTTCTTAAATACAAGCATATAACAGATTTCTTTACTAAGTCATTTCACTAAGTATCAAAAGTTTTGTTATGTCATGATTTTTTCCCATTGTCATCGCTTTTTATCAGTGCTTTTTTTTTTTGGAAAAAAAAATAGGTACCAGTACTCAATGATGTATTGCCTAACTTTTAGTACTAAAAAAAAAATAAAATAATAATAATAATAAACATTATAATACAAGAAAAGTTATAATTTTTGCCCCACTTTGAAAAAGGTACTGGTGCGTACCATCACAAAAAACAACAACAGGTGTTTATGTATTTTTTAATATATATGTGTCTCTTAATTATAATTTTTTTTTTGTAACATAAGCTTTCTGAAAATCTAAATAAAAAGCCTGGATATTTATCAAGTAAATAACTGTCTCTTTTACATATTGTTTATTCACTGAAACATTTCTCATTGCACTTCCTAATAGAAAGCTGGTGTTATCTGTTCAAAAGCTTCAGTGAATACCAATCGCTTGTCTTGGTTGGGCCTTGGTCTCATGAGTCTACAGTTTGGAATATTGGCTCGCCTTACCTGGTGGGAATATTCATGGGATATTATGGAGCCTGTGACCTACTTTGTCACTTACGGAACTTCAATGGCCATGTTTGCATATTTTCTTCTCACAAAACAGGTTTGTAAATCTCTTAATATTCAAACTATATGTACAGATATGATAGGAACATCAGGGCATCCTGCATTTTATAACTTTGGCTTAGATAACCTTGTATTTATAAAACAATAACCTGCTGTTTACCAGATAAGTCACAATGTAGATTAGAATAATATATCCTTTTTAAAATTTTTACAAATCTTTTTTAGGAATATGTTTTTCCTGATGTAAAAGACCGTCAGTTCCTCATTAAATTTTACAAGCTGGCAAATAAAGAGAAACTAGATGTTGATAAATACAATCAGCTCCGGGAAGCAATTACAGAGGCTGAGCATGATTTGCGCCGTCTTCGAGATCCTCTTCAACTGCATCTTCCTATCAAAGAAATGGACAAAATTGTGAAGAAAGAATAATTGTATTTATTGTAAATTAAAAAAAAAAGATTTTATTAATAGGTGACATTGTATTATAGTATTTCTAAAACTTAATATATATTTATATACATACATATACGTACATATATATTTATGCACCTATTTATTCTAAGTTGATTAAATGAAAACTTTGATGTCATCAAAATGTTTTTTTTCCCTCATGTATATCTATATAAATATGTATAGGATGGCCAACATTTTTGTTTTTCTATAGCTGAAACAATATAAAAATATTGAGAAATTTTTCATTTCAACTGGTAATCAGGGTAATATTTTTTTTTTACAAAATTCAAATTTCCTAAAAAGATTAACCTTGTTTGTTACTATTTAAATTAGTAATTAGAGCTCCCTCTGTTGATTGAAAGTTTATAGTAAAAGATATGAGTACTCGGATTTTATAGAAATTGTATCAAATTTCACCTAGTTCAGATCTTTAACTTTTACATGTTATTTCTCCCACACCCAATTTGGATCGAGAGAAAATTTTGCACAAGAATATAAAAAAAAAATCAACCAATTAATTAATTATTTTGTTTGATGTCTCAAACAAGGGAAAAAATTTGTACTTGACTGAAGTGGTGGTATAAGCTGAATTAGTCCCCTTCAGTTTATACATCATTGTCTGAGTCTTAGTGAACACAACATAAAAAATAGGACCAGACTATAGAAACAATAGATAACTATAAAATCTGTTATGTTCAAAGGCTCTCCAGTAGGTTACCATGGTAACTTGAGCCATGAGTTTAAATTCAGGTTTTTTATTTTTATAAATGCTTTTTATTGTTTGTCTAGATCTATTACAAATTTAATTACATGATCTATCCAAAGTAACTGATACAAGTACGTTTTATATTAGCTTTGTTTTTTAAAAAAGAAGTAATTTTTTTATTCCAGTGAAGCATAGTGCCGCAACAGTACTTCACTGTCTGACTCAATTCTGGGCAATTCCCTTCAGTTGAGTCCATGTCCATCCTCCCATCTTGTATTTTCAGACAAATCCTTCACTTATTTATCTTATAGATAATGGACAAAGGGTAAGGGCTCTAGTATTGGTAATATGACGGAAAACATTACCTGAGCATTGCTTTTTTAAAAATATTTATTCTTGTTATGGATCTTTATATATGTAATACCAGAATTTTCTTATAGATAGATTTTTATTCATCCATATGGTTTTCTACTTTGTTCAGCAGAAAACTTAGAACAACTAAATTTGCGTATTTTAATCACATACATCTAGTTATAAAAGTAGTGGGATAATAAAAATCTATTTCCTTGAGTGGGTTGGATTAAAAATGTCCATTGAGCTAGTTAGAATGTTTTTGTTTTTGAAGAGTTCATTCTGTATAAACACCAACCTTATTTCATGTGCATGTCAATTAATAAATGCCTTATAAACAATTTGTCAACAATAAATAAAAAGACTTTTGTTCTGGTTAGTGATTATTTAACTTAGACCTCTATCTGGATTATTATTTATATGAATGTATTTCATGGTATTTTTTTTTATCCCCAATAAACATTAAGTGATTCAAAAGAATCACTTCATTAAATTTAGATATGATTGTGAGGTGTGGTTAAAAATCTTTTGATAGTTAAGTTCTTAAAATACATTTTGTTTATCTACATTGTTTTAAATGTAAAAGAATCCAGATGTGTCGGTGAATTTATAAAATTTTTGTTGATTATTATCTGTATTTTATTTTAGCCCATTTGCTAAGCTGTGTGGCAGACAAAAAAAAAGTATAAATGTTTCAGATATGTTTTTCATATATAAAGAAAACTAAATTGTATCATAGACATATCAAGTATAAAAAGTTATTCTCTTAATAAATTCATCTCCATTACTAGAATTTCATAGCCTTTTACAAAGCATTGAAAGATTTTTTTTTTAAATAGATAAGTGTTTCCCTTAATGACATCTTTTTAGTTGTCTGGTTTAGTAATGGGATTTGAATGTCATTCTACTGAGTTGATGTCTTTATTGAATAGGAATTCTGTTGAAATGACTTTAATGTGCACTTCCCTTTCAGCATGTTTTGTTCATAATGTTAACATATATACTATAACTGCTGTTCATCTGCTATTTTGTTCCTAGTAATTTTAAGGGACAGAGCTTTTCCAAACTTTTACTGATTTAAAAACATTATTTATTGACAATACAAAAAGTGTGAGCAAAGAAGAAAATATCTTTGTAAGATTGGTATTCCTTTAGATCCTGTAGGTTTTGTTTCAGACTAGTGCAATTAGCAGGCTACAGAATTGTATTTTATGAGACATGCTTAGGAAAACCTTATGCAAAATATTTATGATAGAGATAGATTTTTGGCTGTCCTATGGCTTGCATGTACTATAACAATAAAAGCGAGAAGTATTTCATCATTGAGCTCTTAGAAAGTAGTGCACTTCTTCAATTCTGTTTATCCTTTTCTTTTTTTTATTTTGCTGCTTTCTATATCTGACATTGTCATTGTGACTTGTCATGCTTTGCTTTTGTAAGATCAATTTATTATTTAGATTATAACATTTTCTTTTATACAATGGATTTGCTTTAACAGAAATCAGGTGCCTTCATGTTTTGTATCTGCCATGTTATGGGCATTTTAATAGTCATTCTAACTTTTGTTTTGGCTTTATGTTGTCATTAAGTTCTAAAACCACATGCATGTTTAAAGAGAGCTGTACTTTGGAAGATTAATATTCTTTTTACCCATAAATAATTTATTTAAATATTAATGAGGCTTCATATTTACTTTGTATTGAGCCCTGGAAAAAAACCTGTTATTTGATTTAACTAATAGTAGTAATCTCAGTAGGAAATTAATTTATCTGACATCATTATTTCATATTATTTTTTAGATTTCGAATTCTCGTTAAAATGTAAAATAATCTATTTATAAAAATATTCCTTCTTGAATATAGTAGTATATAGTTATCAATTTTGGAATGATATATATATATATATATATATATATATATATATATATATATATATATATATATATATACACACACTTATATTATATATATATATAATTAATTATTATATAATTAATATATATATATATGTATATATATTAATTATTATATAATTAATATATGTATATATGAGAAAAGTAATTCATAGAATACAGTGGATACAGATATCACGTATATTTATAGATGAATACAAAATACAAGCTAGTTATTGCACATGTATGAACCACAAATAACTCTGCACTTTTAACTTTCTAGAAACTTTTTGCACTACCAATTTTTTGAATTTTTAAAACCCTGCCAACTTATTTTTAAAGTCTTACTTCCCTTTATTTTCGTTTTGTACTTTACACTGTCACAAAAAAAAACAATACAAAAATTAATAGATTTTTAATTGATTCTTAATTTAGTAGAAACTTAGCAGAAGCATTTAAATCAGCTATTAAATTAGCTTTGTAAAGATTTCAGATAATTGTGTGTGTTTTATAGAGAGAGGGTGCAAGCTTTTATTGTGAGTGCTTATAAGAGAGCTAATTAACGTACACCTTGTAAAGATAAAGATTTTTCTGACCTTGTAAAGATAAAGATTTTTCTGTTGATCTTGCTCATACTTTTTATTTTTATTCTTGAAACTGTACATTTTGTTTTCTACAACCTCATTTTTCATTCTTTGTTTATAGTTTTTAACTTTGTAGCTGCAATGAATGTTGTATTCTTTTTTTTTTGGTTTCCTTACAATTTATTTATTTACACTTTTACTTTTTCATCAGGCCATTAGTTTCTTTTGTTCAGGATTTTGGATGCAAAAAAAAAAAAATTAATTAAGAATAATCTGTTGTTTCAATGTTTTGTGAATGTTGAATTTTTCAGTTCAAAGTTAAATTTTTGGTGAAAATGACCTAATAAATTAATTCAATGTTATCTACTAACATATATTTATTTTTCCTGTTAGACCCATCTACATTCAATTGAGTCCAGTAAGTGTAGGATTTTTAAGTATTAATGATTGTGATTTTGAAAATATTAATGTTCAAATTTAATGTGTACAATTCATACAACTATTTCTCAAACCATTTTTCCTTAAAGTGTATCTTGAGTTCAAAATTACTATGTAATATTTTCCTGTTGATGTAAGTGAGCCTTTTTTTTTAAAACTACCTCCTACTCTTACTAATGTTGATGTTTAGACTTGTGAAGTAGTGTAATGCCACAGAATATCCTTTTGAATTTTAAAACAAAAGATCATTTTAAAAAATTCAGTTGTCATTTTTACTACTAAAATGCATCAGAATGGGTCATAGGTAATGTTACTTCTGATACTAAGTTTTACTAAATTCTCTTAAAGAAGTTAAAGAACTATACCATTTTTGTACTATTTATCTAATGCATTAAAAAGTCATAATTATAAATATCATGCTCAAATTGGCAAACGTCTGTTTCTTTGTTTCCCTTATAAATTTTTGTATTTCAACATCACATTTGCTGTGAAAGTTGTTACATTTTGAAGACCACCTGTTTTGATAAGCTTACTGTGATCCTACTTTTGATCTACTTTCTATCAATTTTGTCTCTTGAAGTGGTGATATTATCAGTTTCATTGGCATTCCCCATTATCTCATGAATTTCCCAACTTTTTAATGTCTGCATGTCACTACTGTTGGACTAACTTTTCTTTTTATAAATGTTTTTTTTTTATATCACCTTTAATTTAAAAGTGAAGAAATTGATCATGACAAATTTTTCACCCCCTCCCCCCGAAGATTTGTAATTTATTAGTCTTTTTGCCTACCACTCCTTTCCCTTTTATATCTTTCGCTTTACAGTGTTTTTCTTAGAATACATATCATTTCGTATAAAAGGGAAAATAACATTATTAATTGCAAATGCAACCAAAAAAAAATTATTTTGTTTTAACTTTGATTTGTGTGCATGCTTTAGAATTATTTTAAAGCAACAATGCAAGATTGTTTTAGGCATTATTGTTGCAAATGCTGCTTAGACCATCTATGTAACTGTTTGAAATACTGGTAGTTAGAATTTTTTTTTTTTTCTCAAATAATAATGATTGAAATACAACTTGATTGCTATATATAAAAAAAGCTTAATTTTCCTTTGATTTGTTTTTTAATATTCATTGGATTATTATTTGTTCCTACATTTTAAATTACTGGGATGGCCAAACAACAATTCAGTTTTTATTGAGCAGTTCTTGACAATATCTAAACTTCAACTGTGTAATAAAGTAAATTGGACTTGTCAGTCATCTAATGAGTAAAAGTGAGAGGGATGTAAAAATAAATGTCTATTGAAATAAAATCAAGTGACTTTACAGAATTGTACAAAGTATTCTTTTATACTTGCTCATGAAAATGTGTCCCATTGAATTCTATTCTGTCCTGTAAGAATTTATTATTGAACATTTGAAATGAGAATCAAAATTAAAACTTCATTTGTTATAATAATCCACGGAATTTTAATTCAAATCAAATAAAATCTGTATATATTAACATTAATAAATTTTATATCTGAGACACTAAAAATCATCTGGGTTTAAAAAATTAATTGCAATTCTTTTAATATGGGACAAGTAGAATTAATAACAAGAATTTAGTAAGAAATGAACTTCAGGAACACACTACAAATGAAGTTTATTTTTTTAAATAGATTTTCCTAAATTCACTAAGCACTATTGAAAACAAAAATTTCATTGATCTTGCTTTGTTATTTGGCCATCTCCTTTATTTGAATAACATTGTTAACCTTATTCAATAAATACACAAAACTATGCACAACAAATTTAGTTTGGCTTTTCTTGAGATAGTTTTTAGTTCATAACCACCAGTGAAAAATGTGCTAAATGAAATAGTGTTAAAATAATTTTTAGAAATTGAGCTCAAGTTAACCTTTAATCCTATTCGCAATCAACACTTCTAATTAATTTTAACAAGCACGCAATTCTGTTAACTTCAATAAGTTGCAATTATACCAAGTTTGTATTCATAGAAGAAAAGTTCTCTATAAAAAAAACAGCCGGTCAGATGAAGAATTGAACAAATGCAGCTCTTATTTGGTTCACTGGTTTTATTACACATTCATAATTATATGCTTTCATAATTTGAAAACTACACTTGCATCATTCACTGGTAGGTTAAAGAAATCATTTCATCTCTATAAAAAGTAGATCCACTTACATAAATAGGTAATAAGATCTATACAGGGTTGCCAGAGAATTTCGTGCAGCTTACAAATATTGGGCAAATCCACTGATACGACTGGGAAAAACAGGTTTGTTGAAGTTGATGAAAGATCAAATTAAAGAACAATATCTATACCAAACACTTTACTGGTCCATTAAGTGATCCATCAGGAAATTTTGTGCAAAGCTACACTGAATATTTAGCATATTATTAGATTGATAAAGCTTATCATAGCTAAGGGTTTAACCATAGGCAATATGGATTTGGAAACAACTTTCAGATGTGCTGTACCACAGCAGCATCCGCTAGCTTAGCATGGTATGGTGTTGATACATACAATGTGGAATCTTAAGGAAGAAATTATGTTCTTTGAGACAAAGGACATTGACTATGACTTTGATACTAATATTGTTAATATGAATTGAAAACAGGCTTCATGTTTGCCATTTATATCATGTAAAAATTGATCAAAGGGTTGTTGGCACATCATCATCTCAAAGCTTTCCTATTTCTCAAGTCAAGTAAATGAAAACAATAATATAACAAAATATTAGTAAAATTAAATTTTCAAAAAAAAAAAAAAAAAAGATAACTTTTGTTTTTAATTGTTTAATTTGGAATGTATAAATTAGTTGTATGTGTATATTATAGCATTAATACGAAATTAAATGTCATTATAGGTGCTTATAAGAAAAAAAATTTTTTCTTGAGTTGTATATTGTGGGCCGCCACCCTATATTTTAATGCAGTACTCCATAGAAAAAGTTTGCCTACCACTGCAATATTCATAACAATATGTGTAAAACTAAAAGGAATTTTGAAATCTGCAAGCATTAGTTGCCACACTATTTTATCCTCTAGTTTACCTACTCTGAAAAAAAAAGGGTCAGTAATCAACAGCAAATGGATCACCCTGCCTGAATTTTGAGATCCTTATTCCTCTCTGCAGCTAAATGAAACGACTACCGTTTACATATAGTGTATACAACAGCTGCGCCTTATACTTTGAAATGGTCATCACATATAAGGGTGTTAAATATTGCTTTAATTTTACCATGAAAAACTTGTACGGATAACTTAATAACTAATTTGCTTCATATTTTATTCTTCAGAAATAAATAAAATCATTTACAACTAGGGTCACAACTTTGACAACATAAATTCCTAGGATAGAATGATGATTTGGACAGAGGCAGACCTTTTTAATAAAGCAGATGCACATTTAGGCTGCAGTGGTCTCCATCCAATCTATCAAAGTGTTTCACATGTAGATTTTACTTAATGCAACATCTATGTAACATGGCACAGTGCTAGATGCAGGAAAGTGAGGGGAAACAGTGATAAGATGTGTGGACAATATCATTTATTAGGCAGTTCCTACCCTTAGATTCATAGAGAAAAGTAGTGAAATAAAATAAAATGGTGTGAAGTTGTCAAAAGTCCACAAAGGCTTATGAGTAAATAGAGAGTGATTAATTTAAAAGCTTGTTTAACTATGTAGATGCTTTACTTGACTTTCTAAACAAAATATTCACACATGTACAATAATTTCTTGGACTGAAAACAAACTTTTATTTTGTTATTACAGTCTAGATTTTACAATTTTGCGTTTCGGAATGTATGCAATTAAGAATTGACGACACATTATTAGCTTAGTTTGAATATAACACAAGCATTTGCATAAGTGGTTAACAAAACAGCAGTATATATATAATCAGATTTTTGGTTTAGATGATAAGCTGAACATAGTAATGAAGTAATTAGATTAATGGAAAAAAAATAATGTAATACACTAACAGTTGTTTAAGAAATAAAGAATTACACATCATTAGCTTAGTTTGAAAATGACAAAAGCAAATAAGAGGTTAACAAAACAGCAGTATAAATATAATCAGATATTTGGTTTACATGATCAGCTGAACATAGTAAAGTAGTAATTAACTTAATAGGAAAAAAAATAATGTAATACAATAACACTTGCTTAATTAAGAAACAAAGAATTACAATATTGTTGGTTTTCATTGTACAAGTTTCTGAAATATAATAGCATGTAAGAAATGAATTTTTCACTACCAAAAATAAAAAAAACAAACACATAAACAACCAATTGCATTTCAACGATTCTTCTTTTTCAAACAAAATAAAAACATTAACTCAATAAATAGAATGGAATTCTTATATACACTTTAAAGCAAGACAATTTTCACACTCAAATAACAATAAATTTAAATGTTTATCTTATTTAAAATATTCAGATGTTTTTAGAAAATGATGTTCTTAGCTAAATATGATTTACTTATATATATATACATATATAAATATATATAATATATATATATATAACATCTATGACAGTATGTATGGTCGATACGGTATTTAATTTTTTTCAGACTTGGCTCCACATATTCTGATAATTTTTTCAAAATAATTCAACTTTAAAATTAAAATGAGATTACTTTTTAAAATTTTATTTTCAAATAGTTATGTAATTTAAACCCTCCTAGGTTATAATTCGGAATGACGTTTTAAACAAATGCATGCTTTAGCTTGTGCATCTCTATATGGTTTACAGCCAAGAGCAACAGTTGCAGCATAGATCATGTCAACACCATGGTGGCAGCCTGCAAGAGAGTAAAAAAAATCGGATATGTGAAACCTAAGCAAAATGTCTTGATAAAAAGCTCAAATATATCAAGTGTGATACATTAAAGCAAATGTGTGCTAACTCTAAAATTTATTTGCAGCAGAAGAACACTTTTATTCAGCACTGCCCCAGCACATTGAGGTTCACATTATTGTGAGCTGCTCAGCATGGTTTAATATGTAATCTTTGCTTCTAATAATTTCAAATTAAAATGTACACATTAACACAGAGTAGATAAGAGCTTATTCTTAATATAAACAGTTAAATATTCACATTTGAGTGACATCATTAGTAAAATCACTAAATCTAGAGACATTTCAAAACAGGAGACTAAAAAGTAAAAGTAGCACTTATACATAATACACTGAAACAAAACACAACCTAATAAAATACTCAGAAAGATGCAAAGATAAATGCACTTTAATTATTCCATCTGGTAGGATAAATTTGTACAAGTACTTCTTCTTTTTTAATTAACAGAGCATGGCTAAAGGTGCCTGAATTAGCCAAGAAAACATTTGAATAAGAAGACTTTAATTAACATGCTTGACTACATTAACACAAAGATACTTTTAGGATGTAATTATCTTCTTTTATAAAAGAATGTCGGTAATTTTAAAGATGAGAAAACATGACCAATAGTTAGTTTAGTAGCTAACAGAAGTTTAAGCTGCGATGAAAATTATGTGCAAAAATGTATCAAATGTAAAAGTGATATAAAATGAAATAGTCATCTATATAACATCATTCAACTTAAGACATCAGGACTCATTAATCATGATCACATCAGGAGTCATTGTCATGATCTTTGTTGTGTGTTGAAAAATCAACATATATACATTTCAAACATGTTCCATTCTGTTACAATCTTTAAAAGTATTTTTTATATAACTGAATGAAATATAATTTACATATGCTTGAAATGAAAAATAAATACCTTCATATGCTTCTTTTGACAGGTGACCTTTAATATTTTTACATATATCTGCTAAACATTTTTTAAATTTGTCATCACATTTTTCTTTTGATTTATTACATGTGTCATAGCAGTAGTCATGTTCATCACAGCACTTGGTCATTTCTTTGATTTGGATGTGAGACTCTAACTAAATGTAAGCAAGACAAATGTACAAATCAATTAAATCTTTATGTAATGTAATTTATCTCAAAAAAATTAATAATAATAATAACAGCACAAAAATTCTTTTTCAACACTGTCTTTATATCTGATCAAGTGCATCAATGTTAGATGGTAGAAAAGGTACACAAATTTAGAAGATAATATTTAAAAAAAAAAGAGTTTTATTCATTTTGTTATAACTGTAATGGTAATGCAATTTGGGTTACCATGCATGTGCAATCAGCTGACACATGTGACACAGAACAGTAACACAGATCAGCATACTGCTTAGTAGTCAACTGTGTCAAAGGACAAGAGACAGTGCTGGTATGAACTCTTCATGTAAATGTGAAAACCTGTGATATGGTCATGGGATGAGGAATGATAAATTCTGTGATTGTTAGAGAAGAGAAGGCCTTTGGGGAAAAAACATAGAGACAGTAGGAGATGCAATTCAGTTCAGCACACTGAGTCGGTTTGGGTACTGTTAGTCCACACAATGAAGTCAGACTGGTATCGTTTGAGTCCAGAGTGTAGAAGTACAAGTCCAGGAGTAGACAGAGAGACAGTAAAGTATGGCAGTACGGTTACGTACAGTAAAGTATTTGTAGTCAGTAACCGTATCCAATTGTGTAGTATTGGCTATTGATTTATTATTTTATTAAAGTATCACATTACTTTTGAGCTCTTTTTGTCAAGTTTTTGAGTTAGATTTGTTGTGTTAAGCAGAGATATCAAAGAGCCTGATAGTCATAACAAAATATATAATGTATGACTTCACAATTTAATGTTCACACCTGTATTTATAGTGACCAGACAATACCTGCAAGAATTTG